ATACGTACTCGCAAACATTTAAAACATGACAGAGTACATTCTTTGTCATACCACAATTTAATAAAAAATATGAATATCACTACTCAAATTCGTCATATGTACATATTTGACGAATATCTCAACGAGGAAATTAATTCCATCAAATTTAACTACGTATTTAGTCTAAGTAAAAGTAAAAGGAAGAAAAATCGAAAAATATTTAACAAAACTAACACATGTTTCTGAAGTTCAGGTTGAATTGTGTAATCTAACATTTGTACGTAAATATTAAATTCCTTCATACAACTCAGGAGCCTAGAAAAACGTCAGCAGCACATTAACCGTATTATCGACCACGGCTTGCATGCACGAATTAAAAGTGTCCATTTCAAAGTGGTACGCGGACGAGACATTAATTCGTATGCACCACAACGACATTTCGACCCTTTTATAGTACGCGATCCTCCTCGGCATGCAGGCCATGTTTTGTTTGAAACGAGCCGAACTTTCATAAATTTCCGCCGCTGCTTTGAAGCAACTGCTTTCAAAATAGCTGAACGCGAACGCGCTAAGAAACAGGGTGAATCGGATCGGAGCGGGTAAAATGTGCCAGCACTTGATCGTGATCACGTTGACGAGCACGTGCACGGCGCAGAGGACGTGTTGTGTAATCGGCCACAAAAGGGCGGAACAGGTCTCTCTGTGAAAGCAGTTTAGAACGTGTAAAATTTTGTAGAGTGATACGTTTCTCGACATATTTCTCGAGCTGGTGGCGTCCTTGGGTTGAGAATTGTTGCTGAAAGATGAGAAGCTATTAGTATGTGTAGATACGTTATGACTAATATGCTTGTAGTGTTAAGTCATAACTCACCAAATCAGTTGCAACCAGTTTCTTGTAATTTGGGCGTAAACGACCAACTGTGTAGCGGCATATCCTGTCCCAAAGATGGCCATGTAGCTCAAAAGTAGTTCGGCAAAGGCGAACAGAGCGATTCCTTAAATGTAAATTTAGCAAAATATATTATTTACCGAATCCTATCACGATACAATTTTTGTAGCTTCGCAATTTTGCTTAATGAGTTGCGATGCGAAATATGATGTTATGTATGAGTGTTCTTATGGAATGCAGATCGCATCCAATTTCTTATTAAGTATCATTGGCTGTTGCTTTTAGTATCTAGTGATTCATCATAAATGCAAAGCAATGTTATAATCGATATTACCAATTTTGTTGTCGTAAAAATCCCCCGGTAATAATCTGTTCCCCCAGTATCGCACGCTATGCCTCTCCTCCAAATGCTGCAGGGTTGGTCCGATGGGTTGGATATGGACCGTTATAACGCCAAATGTCACGTAAAATAAGCCATCGTCCACACCACCATTCTGATCCGTGTAATATTCGTCTTCAAGAAATTAAATCGGAATTTATTGTTAGTAGAATATTTCAATATGCTCGAAATCAACGTAATAAACCGACGTGCGTAAAAATTGAAGCAATTCACTCAGTCATTGCGTTTACAGACGCCCTTGATGTTCTAGCAAGTTTACAAAAAATTTTCAAAGATAATTTTCGTTGGAAATATTTCTAAAATTTGATAAGTTTACAGAATTTGCGGATTTTACAAAGTTATCACTGCGTGAATTGCCACTTTCTAAAGATGACGGTTTAAAAATCAGTTTATGTACGTGATGTTAACTAATTAAATATCTACCTTTCAACCGCTGATGCACCTTACATACTTGATTGATAAGATTATTCGCAGATTTAAAGTCATTGGCAAACCATGCGATCAGGATGCACGCCCCCATGCGTGAAAGTCCATGGGACAACAACTTCATCGTCTCTTCCGGCGTCAGTTCAGCATAGTTTATCGTGCAAATTGTTACCGCCAGGTAGACCGTGTCCGCCGTATAATAGGATTGCATCAGACACCAGAGAAATATGCGAATCTTGCTTGTTTCGAATTTTACCGTTTGGCCGGTATTATCCCAAAGTATGGGGAGGAGGCAGAATTTTTGGCAAGTTTTGTAATACCGGTGGAGGAAATATTGCCAATTTGAGGTCTTCATGATTTGGCAGAATTTAGGTTTTTTTTAATGGAAAATAAATCCCAACAAGTTAATATTTTTGAACGTCTAACCTTTCCAGAATGTTAAAGTTGTTTGGCATCGCGTCACTAGCCAGGTATCGACGGAGTTAAAAAATAGAAACGAAATGAAATTACGTTTAGAAATTGTTTTCAATCGAGGAGAAATTGATTAGGTTTTTTAGTCGAGTTCAATCGCCGCGGAGGCCATGGGGACATCAACATTGTAGGATATATAAGGAAAGCGTGGGGTTTATATGTACGTATAACATGGGGAAATGATTAGGACATATTTAGAATAGCCGTGGGACATTGTCCCTATTTTCCTACACTTCCGTGGCCACTGATCAAATCGAATACATATTTACAAGGTTATTCATAAAATATGTATGATCAGCCATTTCTGCGGTTTTCGGGGATTACTACTTGGTTTGATTTTTGAAAATTGCAAGCTTCCAATGAATCATTGTCATCTTCATTAGGCAAAAACTACAAAGATTTCGGATATTAAAATCTAAACAATTCATTCGTTTGAGAAATTATGTTTTTTGAAGGGGGGGGGGATATTTGCAAATAAATGTCACTGAATCAATGTCAAATAAATGTCAATAAATTACAGCGTCTGACCATCAGCTCAAAGCTACGAGGTCAGCGTAATGCGAACCCGATAATATATGGATAACCCTCGCGATCAGTATAAATAATTTAAGTTTGCTGCTGTTTATCAAGCAATATGTTGAGGTATGTATGGTACAAACTATGAAACTCATATGTGTAAAAGACTACTTTTATATGCATGGATTCGATTTTCGATTTGTCAAAATTAAATTCAAAAAGCAATAAATTTAATTGGCATTTGAATTATTGTGCAAATACGTATGAAAATACGTATGAAAATGAAGGTTTGAGACTCATTAATCTTGGAATAGTTGCCGTCTTGCTATTGGCTGGCTGGTGGTCAAGGAACTGGTCTTGGAGTGTCCTAAAGGCAAATACGACGTGGGGTTCTCATCTCGTAAAGCTCTTTACAAGTTACAGGCTGAACGCATCTTACGACTCGAATTCCTGGCACCTTCTGACCATGATACAGCGAGCACACTAAAGATCCTACTTTAGAGTCCTTCAGACAACGGGCTTATTTCGGAATAAAGCCAAAAAACTTGGTTCGAACAAGGAATACATATACTGCCCACTTCATCACGGATGGTCAAATCAACAAGCACAGCTTGGCGTGCAAAGGAAATTTTGAATGATATGGTGAAACGTGGAATTGACATGTCTACGTCTCCTGTTTGGATAACATTCTTGTCAAAATGGCAGATCCAACATTTATTGGATATATACTGTATCAGCCAGGGAGCTGAATCCGGGACCAAGGTTATGGAAAAACCCACGGAACCCACAGAAGATCCCCCACGTGAACAGCTTGGATGAACTTGCCCACCCCGAGCGTCCTAACGGTATCAAGTTGGAAAAATTTGTGCTCGAAGTAAATATTCCAGCTTTTCAACAACTTTGTGGTGTGGGAAGTCCTTCGGGAAGACGAGTTTAGTCCGTTGAAGAATTCGGACGGGGCGGAGAAGGACACGACTCTCACCGGTCCACCAACGTCTTATCCTCTAGGCCCGGAGCGTCAGATCGACGGCAGGACACCCCATCTCACTAATTCCTGGTATCTTGAATAACAACGCTATTCAAGTGGAGAACAACAACAACGAGGTTCAAAAGCCCAGTACGAGTAAGTATAAGTTCCCCGTGGTGGTGGAAATATCCCCCCTCGTTTCCTACACGGGTGATGGATTGGAGACATTTATCTCCGGGACCGAAAAGGTCACCCCGTCTTCTTCAGATGGTCACCCCGGCCTCGAAGGCGATGTCTTCCTCAAAGTGCACACCGTTCAACCCATGGCTCAACAACTACATACATACCTATCCGCAGTAACTATTAAACAAAAAATAATGTAATACATACATATTTACATCGATATTTCAACATGTTGAAAAAATCAACTCTAAAAACAACTCTTTATCTTGGACAAAATAAATTGGTCGTCTTCATCAAATTCAACGTTTTAATACATACATATAATTTCTACATGCATATATACATATATATATAGCAAATACTTTGTATAAATTTCCTGCAGAAATGCCACATCCCCACTATTTCCCATCCCCACTTTATTATGAAATATATGCAATGCATGTAAACCTACAACATGCCTACAACCATGGAAATCGATCGAATCCAAATGCAAATGACTCGGCAAAATTTTGTCTCAATTTCTTCATCTCAAATTCGCATTGCATTGAGTTTGCGACTGGACTGGCTCGACGTCACAACTGTGAACTGCCGATCTGCTGTAGTTCCTGCGAGGACTCTAACTGAACTCTAACTGAACACAGTTAGAGTTCCTAGAAAGTGTATTTGAAAAACAGCCACCGCAAAACAGAAAAAAAGTGAGATTTTGGGAGCACACACGATTTCGTGCATTTTCTGCCAAACGTGGTGGCTGCAACTCTCACCGTCACCACCGCTCATGTCCATATATCCTGGCATCAAAAAATTACGTTTGCAGCACATAGGTGGCGTCCGCACCCCTATTTGGACATATTCTCTCCAATTTCGCCAATTTCGGAGTCGCGTCTCCCCAAATTTGATGCTCTAAATGGCGGTGCCGACGCCACCTAGGTGCTTCCAACGTAATTTTTTGATGCGAGGATATGTGGATGTGAGCGGTGGTGCACCACCATCGTGGGGCGAAGCACACACTGCTTGGGCGTGCAGCAGCCACCACGCGCTGCGTTAATACTACCAATAGGGGGCCAGAAATCGTACCTCTATCGTGGCGATTTTCCTTATGCACTTTCCACGAACCCTTTCTGGCTCACTCCAAATAAAAAAGCCAGCTGGGTTCGTCGCGGGAACTATGCGCGACCAATGGCAACCTCAGCTCCCGAGAAACCTAATTAATTCAGTCAACAAATGATCGCGACAGGAATAACAAATAAAGAAAAGTGCAAATATTTTACACATTGCTTTTCACTTATTAAAATTAATATTAATTCGATAAACACGTCAATGTTGATCAATTTCTGAGGAAGGGTAAGTCCTTACTGAGTATTTGTTACTCCAAGAATTAAAAATCACTTGAAAAGAAAAACGATAAATAACGTATGCTTTATCTTATCCATGAATTCTGAAACAGAAGTTTGACATTTTGAGAATATCCGTGGATAACAATTCAACTCGGGTGAAATGGAATCTCCTCCGTCGACGATAAACGCGCAGGACATGGCACTACAAAATCCTCTCGTAAGCCAATTAATTAGAACGCTTTTTCAAATTTTTTTTAAACGCATCAATTATTAAGTATTCCCAAAATTTTTACAGATTTTGACAAAAATATTGCAAAATAACTCTGTCTCATTGACAAGTTGTCGACTGGTTTCTCAATTTTGGAACGAAGTGGTTCTCTCCCTTCCAAATACAAGACTTTCTTTGAAGCTGAACCATAACGACGAAGACTGTGATGAAGCACTCCAATTTTTCGGACTATGTTTCTCATTAGATAAGCGACTTGCGCAACGGGTTAGCGCTGAAAGTGGCACCTTTTCCATTGACTGGAGGCTGATGCACATTTGCGGCAAATTTGGCGACTGGGTACAAATCTTGGAGATTTACTTGTCGGAGGAAGATTGCCTCAAATCTACCTGTCAAGTTTTGAAATACTGCTGCCCCAATTTGAAACAATTGCGAATTGATTGCGACTTTGTGGATGCAAGGAATGTGGATCTTTTTCCACCAGATGAGGAACAAATTCTGCCAGTAAAACCAAATTTGACCTTGTTCACTCTCACTTGCTTGGATTTCGACCCGGAAATCTGGTTTGTCCCGGCTATCGCCATTTTGATTCAACTGGTGGTCAAGGCCTCGCCAAATTTAAGAGAGGTCACCATTCCATGGGGATTTTACCCAAATTTGGCAAATTCCAAGTGTCTCGAATCCTTAACCATTTAAAGAGGACAAGTAAAAGTCAAGATGTCCATAATTCGTGTCACCAGGCGACAGTAGAGTTACCTTAATTCGTGAGGGAGCTTTATTTCTAAAGGATCATTATTCGTAACCAAAAATGCCAGTCAAATATGTTACTCCGTGACAACATTTTCATAAAAAATTTTAATTTTTAGCCCGACCCAAGGCTTATGTACCCGTGTTGTCCATCTGTACAATGATAATTTTTTTATAAAATTATCCGATCGACTTGATATTTTCCACACATATAGACCATCCAAATACACAACTCGAGTTCGAAGACTGGTTCGATCGGTCAAGTGGTTGGCCGGTAGGGGTCATATGGGTGTTGGGGGTCAAGGGTAACGAAAATTAAAAATTTGCGTGAAAGTTTATAATGACTAGCAATGGAAGAATATAACGTAGAATTAAATAGATTTTTATCTTGAGGTACCCTATAGGGTAAATGTTAATCCTAAGTTATTTCTCGACTCCATACTAAATTATTTCAGCTGATTATATCAATTTTAAGAAATCGGTGTGGACCACCCCCTAGTGTCCCTCTGCAAATTTGTGTTCATATTTAACTTCCTATTATTTCATGAGAAGGCAGTAAAGATCTCTGGTCCTAATTTCAGCTTTCCATGTTAATCCCTGAAAATTGGTGGGGGTCACCCCATAGGGTCCTTCCAGATGAAAATTTTCCAGATTCCAATGTATATTCTTCCATGAAGAGCGATAAGAAAACTAAATGCCAAATTTCAGAACGATATGACGATTTTGAAAAATCAGTATGGGTTAGTGGGTCACCCACCCTTCCAGATGAAAATTCTACCAATTTCATTTCATATTCTTCCTTTAGGCCCCATAAGCAACCTATCCACCAAATTTAAGTTAGATATGACGACTTTGAAAAATCGGTAGGGGTCACCCCATAGGGTCCCTCAAGATAAATTTTTCGAATTTGAGTTCATATCCTTCCTTTAGGACCCATTTACTCCTCTGCACCAAATTTGAGCTTTCTACGACAATTTCGAAATTTTGGTGCATAATTCCCAACCACCCAGATGACCCCTACGGGTCAACCAGTGGACCGATTTTGCCCATCTTCGAACTCGGTTCCTAACTTTGTCCAATATGCATCTGGTAAAAATTTCAAGTCAATCGGCCAACTCGTTCCAGAGTTGTCGAAAGACAGACGGACAGAAGGAGGGACGGACGGACGGACGGACATGACAATTACATAAGCCCTGGTTCGGGCTAAAAACAAATGTCGACGTCACGAATTATGGCGAATTTGCCAGGGAACGACAAACGTCTACGTCACGAATTAAGGTAAGGTTTTCTGTGGCAACATATGTCGTCGTCACGGGTTATGGAGCGGATTTTGACGATGACATATGCCTTTGTCACGAATTATGGACAAGTCGCCAAAGCGACATATGCCACTTTCACAGATTAAATGGTTAAACATCGCGTTGAATAAAGTCCACCCATGTGAAATCCAATACACACCGAACGTTTCGAAACTGTCAAGAATGTTGCATCAAGTCGATGACCAACTAGTCAACCTGTGTTTTGGTACTGTTCAAAACGACCTTCTGCTAATGTCGGACGACGAGTACGACTACGAAAACTCATCTCAAATCGGATTCCACTTGTCGAAAAAGATGCCAAAATTACGAAAGTTTTCCAACCGCATTGTTGAAATGTTTCGATGTGCCGACTTTTTACAAAATATCGAAATGATGCCCCTTCTGGAAACTTTGGTGCTTGGAAGAGATCTAGCAGAGGTGAGAGGTGTGGATGACATTTTGCGAGGAATTTGTAACGCGAAAATGATTTTGCCAAGTGTACGAAAATTGGAGCTTATCGAGTTGTACGATCCCAGACTTTTGGACGGAGTGGCCACTGCATTTCCGAACGTGGAGAGGTTGGAGATGGTTCGGTTGTTGGCAAAGGAGTTAAAAGAGGAAGTGAGATTGGACGTGGGCGTGGTGTTGGAGGCGTGTCGGGGTTTGAGTGCGTTAAAACATTTGAAGTTGACCCTATCGGTGTATCCTGCGGAAATGGTGGATTTTATCCAGGGACTTTTACAAGGCAGGGAATTGTTTCAACGTGAGTATCAATTATTGAAACTTGGTTAAAAAGTTGGTTTATAAAAAAAATGCGTAACAGGGTTTGAAGGGAAGCCACGAGCAATTATTTAAGTACGTTTGCATGCGCAATTTCCTGGTATTTCTTGCATTTCTTGGGCTTGGAAATTTGTATATTTCATCGTCAATTTAAAATTGCATGTCTATACATGAATTCTTATCAAATATGTACATGCAAATTTCTTAATTTTCAACTTTCAACTTATATTCCAGGCCTTACAACGTTGGAAATTACGACGTGCCGTTGGAAATACGTACCACGAAATTTGACCGAAGATGAGATGGTTCTATTTAAGCAACTGCTTCTCGTGATAGATAAGATGGACCGGGTCACGATTGCCAATCTTGATGTGAGTAAAACTTAATCGTTAACAGATTAATTCATTATTGAATTCGTGCGTAGGCTTAATGTATACACATTTTTTCCAGTTAAACGAAGAATCTGCGAATATTATTCTGGATTTCATAGCGTAGAATAAAATGTCACCGTCCAAATTTCGGATGATTCTGGATCCGGAGGAATTTTGATAGTCAGAAATGCATCAACTAGTTTTTCCCTGTTTATAATGTATTAATAAGTACTAATTTTTTGGGTACGTCAAACATGTAAATTACTTTTGTGAAATGAGCAAATATTGCATTTTCGATAGAATGAAGTGGAAAATTGTCCATAAAATTTTGCGGAAATTTAATCTGAAAATTGATTTCATATCTTTATAATTAAAATTGTGATGTCAAATTTAGCGTGAATAAATAAGGGAATTAACTATTTAGTTCTAATGGCTTGATAAGAAGATACACATTATTTGTTAGCAATTAAGTATAGCATTAATTACCTCTTCATAAAATATTGTATAAAATAGGGATACGTTTCTATCTTCTTCGTTGCAACAGATACCTGTTTTTGTATACATTTGCATGCTGTAAATATTAGCTGCCATCAATTTAACTGAAAACACTTGGAATTTTATTTAAATGAAACTAAACTTTAACAAAAAGCATCAGTAAACAATCATGCAAATTTCATACATACATACATACATATTAAATTTATCTATATCATGCCCGTAAATTAATTGATTGTTGTGCATAACCTATTTACAGCTACATACATACATAAATATTAGGCAAAATATATGTTCATATTATTTAAATGTAACGAATTAAATTGAACATCACCAAAAATCAAAATTCCACAAAATTTCTACCCCTGCAAAATGTGAATGCGTGTTTCACCAATTCTTGAAAAGAGACGAATTCCTTCCCACAAGGGTCACATTCATGCTTTGCAGGATCATGTCGTTTTTTGTGAATGGTCAAATAATATCTCGAATGACTTTTATACTCGCACTGGTCACAGAAATGACTCGCCCCCTTGTCCACTGGGTTCCACGTGACATTTCAAGCTGGATGACTTCGTGAATCTCTTGTCACAAAATGTGCAAGGATAATTCCTCTGTTTATCATGCAAAACTCCGACGTGCTCCCTTCGGTTAGATTTTTCAAGATGGGTCTTTCTTCTGTATTAATAAAATCAGCCTTAATTAGCAAATGTTTCCCATATTTTTACCGTGATTATTTACATACATACATACATACCTCATGAGTTTCAGGCTTATCTTTGTGGGTGAACCTTCTCCCACAGGTGGTCACACTTAAAACGCTTATCGATCGTGTGGGCAGGAATGTGACTCTCAAGATGTTGTCGGGTTTTAAATTCTTTGTCGCAAAATGTCCACGAAAATCGTTCCGGGTTTTGAGCATGTCCAATTCTGCATAACATAAATAATGCTTATTTTTTTGTGATGAAGAATTACTTTGTATTCAGAGTACTTTGTTAAAAATGTGATTTAAAACTGCATGGAAGTTTTAAACTTCAAACTTATGCTTATTTAGGTATGTTTTCTCACATCCCGGAAATCTGCATGGGAATCGGGGTCGTTTCTTCGAGCTGTGGATGGTTTTAATGCGTCGGATGATTAAATATATATGCCAAAATTAGATTACAATTAAAATTGTGGCATTAAAATGAAGTGATGGAATGGAATCGGTTTTCTCGTTGTTTTGAATATTTTCCATCAAAGCGGGTGGATGGTGTCGGTGGTGGTGGGCAGTAGTGGACACCGTCCAGCTTTGCAGGAGATGGTAGAACATGGGGAGGAATGAGGATGAAGTATGTGGGTCAAGTTCAACCCATGAAAATCAGCAGATGATGTATGCAAGGCGTAACTATGGGGTCAACCATCACCATCACCATTTTTTGCCAAAAAAATAAAATAAAAAACAGCAGGATTTTGCTTCATTGTCGCTACAGTTTACTCTTCTCTAAAAATTAAATTTTAATAGAATTTTGACCACGGTCTTCGCAATAATCAAGACAATACCTCTACTTTTACACATTTTGCATTAGTGTGAGCCAAGAATAAAGGACACAGCAAAAGAGGCAACAAATTGGTAGAATCGGCAAGAAAAAAGACACGATCCGAATTCGGGTGAGGGTGTATTCTTGACTCGGTCTCATCATTACATTATACATACAAAGAGATGGATCACTTGCTTAACTTTTGCACCAGTTAAATAATCCATTTTGATTCATTAATTTGCAGGTTCATTTAGCCGTTAATTAAACTCTTCCCAGTACAATTCGAGTTACCTTTGAACTGTCGAGTATGTAATCACTTTAAAAACTAACCTTTCTCTTTACTCGGCATTTATGTATGTACAGTGGAGGTCTCCCAGCGTATGTACTCCGATTTCGACCAAACTTGTGCCAATCGATCTCAAATTTAATCAATATGAACTTTACAAATGACAGGATCTCCCAATGGTCACGTTTGGCGGAGATATATTTGCATTTGCATCTAAAACGCTGCTGAAAGTTGCAAATTTTACACTTTGCAAATCTACTGCGCGTCTCCTCCTGTTCGGATGTACAAATCTCCGCCAATCTTGCACGTAGGCAGATTGTATCTTTTGCAAATTTTATGCTAATCAAATTTGTGCTTGATTGACACTAATTTGGTCAAAATCTGAGAGCATACACAGGGAGAGCTCAATTGTTTGGATGAATATGCCTAATTTTAATTTATTTTGTCCAGAATGCAAGCTTTTCCGTTTAGACCAAGAGGTCTGCCTGGTTTTCATATGCTGCGGAAAGTCCCACAGAACGGTTTTCCAGTCCATTTGTTCCAAGAGACACATATTTTCACCGAGGACAACGTTGCTTTTGTTCGATACTACTGCATGGCGTCCGGAAAATTGGAGATAACCGACGTCTACGTTGTGGCTTGTGAAAACAAGGAGAATGGCTGGCACTATCGTGTCCACTTTGGCGGATTCCGTTTCAACGAAGACAAAACCTTCCCCCACTATTATTGTTGGCATTATGCCGATCATCTTCGAGACTGGATAATCCGCTTAGAAGTGAGATCAATTATTTTTTAACTAATTATCAGAGTCCGGAAAATATGTTCTTAAAAACCCCAAAATATGTATGCAAAATTTTTAATCAAATCGCGCAAAAATGTAGGCAAAACATTTTTAATTCGCTTCAAATTTAATTTATTTGACTTCAAAAATGCACAGAAAAGCTTTTACATTTCAAAGTAACAAACTAAAAACATTTCCACATGCTCTGGCGTCATATTTGTACGATGATGGGACAAATTTCTATGTTGGCTAAAACGACCATCGTTGTACTTTAAGCACGCAACAGCACTTGGAGAAAGTGCATTATTTATGTATTGTGAATTTCTGAGGTTTTTCCAAAAGATTGCAGAGTATTTTTGGAATATGTATCTAAAGACATATGTATGAAATATGCACGTTTTTTACAAAATCGCTGAAATCTGTTTTATGTAGCTTATTTCAAGCGTCTGGCACCCATTTTACCATGGGGGTACATAGACTCATATGCATATATTTACTTTCTGGTTATAATCATACCCCGATTTTTCGAACGTTTTATCCGTCTATCCGTTCGTCCATTCTAATTAATTGAATTCTTGTAGGCCCAGGTCCCACTTCCATTCAAAATTCCGCTGTTGAAGAATGATCCCCGCAACGGCGAGGAGGATTTCGTCCAATATCTGGACGACTTGCCACCACCAACTCCCGATGACGAAATATATAAATTCCGTGGCGGAAATGAGCACGCCATACCATTGGCTGAGGAAGAAGTTGGACTTCGAAGCGCTTGTGTTGCTGGAGAGGAGAAAATGCTGCCCACTCCGTCTCAAGTGCGGCAACACTTCCACAATGCTGCCACCCTTATTAAGGAACGGTCATCAGTTGCCTTGCAGTGGGCCGGTATGCGGCTTTTGAATTGTTCAAAATACAAGGAGAGGGACTTGGAAGTCATTCACGATGAATGTGTTACGGGTATGACAATGTACTAAACAGTGCTTATTTTTATGCGCGCAAGATTATTTTGATGCATGCATAGTGCGTGAAAGTGTATAAAATGCTTAAAAATCCATGAAAATGCACAGAATGACATGCAATTCATACAGGGAATTACATATTTGCAAGAAATTTTATGCTTTCCTAGTATTTTAAATTGGGCTAAGATTGAGTTTTCAAAATTTTAGACTGATTTAAAAACTACTAAACCACTTTTTAGCCCGAGTCAGGGCTTATGTACCCGTCTTGTCCGTCTATCTGTCCGTCTGTCTGTCTGGTTTGCGATAACTACCGTAAAATTAATTCGATCGACTTAAGATTTTGCACAAATTTAGTATGGGTCAAAGGAGGAGTTAAGTTCGAAGATGGGCGAAATCGGTCAAGTGGTTGACCGGTGGGGGTCATCTGGGTGGGTGGGGCATTATGCACCAAAATTTCAAAATTGCCGTAGAAAGCTGAAATTTGGTGCAGAGGTTGATAATGGTTTCTAATGAAGGAATACAAAGTAAAATTGCAAAAATTTTCATCCGGAGGGACCCTAGGGGGTGACCCATACCGATTTTTAAAACTTATCCAATCGAGCTGAAATTTGATACATAGGTTGTTAATGACTACCAATGGAAGAATATGAATTGGAATTCGACACATTGTCACCTGGACAGACCCTATGGGGTGACCCATACCAATTTTTCAAATTCGTCAAATCGAGCTGAAATTTGGTAGACAAGTTGGTAATAGCTCCTAATGGAAGAATACGAAGTAAAATAAGAAAAAGTTTCATCTGGAGGGCCTTATTGGGCGACCCAATAAGGTGACCAGGAAAAAAAAATATGTGTGCACCAACAAATGTATACGAACCTAGTCACCCGCGTGGCTGGAATTTACATATGTTGCGTGTAATATTACTAGGATAATATCCTGAGAGTTTTAGGAAAAACTATACACTCGTTTCAAAGTTATGGTCACAGTCGATACGGGTGACCAAGGGGAAAAAATGTGTGCACTAACAAAAATTTAGTGATAGCCGATTACATTTGGTAATAGTGGATAAATTTTGGTATATGGGTTACTAAAGGCTCTTAATTGAAGAATTCGAAGTTTTAAAAATTTTAATTTGAAAACAGATTTACGCCTGACTCGGGCTATATCAAGTCTGCACTGTAGGTTTTAAAATCGAAATTAAAAGTTTTGGAAGAAAACTGGTTAAAATTAATTTCTCAATCGGCCTTAAAGTGTTCAATTTATAGAAATTGCAACATAACTCGGTATATGGAATGGATGTTGAGCAGAAAATATATTAAAAATCATCGTCGAAAAAGTAAGGGAGGCAGTCCGTATTTACATACATATATACATATACATACATACATAATGTCCGT